CTAATCCCGGGGGTGCACAGGCCCTCGTCAAGGAGTTTCCCGCAAATGCACCACGGTTAATTCAGGTATTACCCAGTCCGATGACCCTCAGAAATTGTTTGCACCCAGTGGGTTTCAAACTTGAGACCTAGCCCTAATATTGTATGTTATTGGAGGAAGTCCTAAAATAGGAGCCATGGAAAGATACATTGCTTCAGTATGGAACTTTGCGGCTAAACCTAAGGTGTATTTTTATAATGATAGTTATTTTGTGGTTCGTTTCAATTCGATTGAAGATAGGGATGCAGTTCTGTATTCAGGGCCTCACATGCTGAATAATAAGCCTATCATTGTCAAAGTGTGGTCGGCTGATTTTGATTTCAATAAAGAGGTTCTCCAAACTATACCAGTATGGGTGAAATACCCCAATTTGCCTTTGAATTGCTGGGGAAAGAGGTCACTCAGTAGGATCAACAGTGGATTGGGAATTCCTCTTTATGCAGATGCTTGTACTACTCAAGTAGATAGGATCTCATATGCAAGGGTGTGGTTGAAATGGATGTGACTAAGGAGCTTCCTAGATCTATTAAAGTGACTGATCCTAATGGAAGGGATTTATGCAGGAAATAGCATATGATTGGGTACCTGAGTTTTGTACTAAATGCATGCAAGTTGGTCACCAATGTAGAGTGGCTGATTAGAGTGGTCCAAAGGGGAAGGCCAAGCATGTAAAACAGAAGCAGGAATGACAACCTAAGGTGGTATCCAAAGTACAGGAACCAGTTAAGGAGCAATTGCATTTGAAGGAAACTACAAAGGAAAAGAATGCTAGTACTAGTACGTCAATGGCTAGTACTAGTGCAGGAGCTGAAAGAGGAAATGAGGAGCAAAGGTGGCAGACTGTTATAGGAAAATCAGTAGCTAGAAGTAGAGAAAGACAACCAGCTGATGTAGTAAATGTCATCAATGGATTTAATCTACTTGCAGAGTTAAAAACTACAACTAGCTATGCCAAGACAGATAGAGCGAGGAACAGGTTGACAGCAGGGTGATACTGGGCAGGAAGGTACTCTACAACCCCTTTTTATACCTGTATGAAGTTAGTAACTTGGAACATAAGGGGATTAAATAAAGTCCCTAGACAAAAAGAGGTAAAGTGGTTCATTTGTAGTAAGGAAGTAAGCATGATAGCATTACTAGAACATAAAATAAAAAAGCAGAAGGCTGAACAAGCTATAAGGAAAATTACTCCTGGATGGGCATATTTAGACAACTATGAGTATAGTAGCAAAGTAAGAATATGGTTGTTATGGGACACAAATGAAATAGAGTGCAAAGAGGTGAGTAGCACTGCTCAGACTATTCACACTACAGTATATATTAGGAGATTGGATATGAGATTTACATTTACAGCTGTGTATGGCTTGCATAGTATTGATGACAGAAGAAGTATGTGGAGTGAACTGACTAGGTTGCACTCAATACAACAAGGGCCATGGTTGATCATGGGGGATTACAATGCTATTAGATCAGTTGAAGATAGAGCAGTTGGTAATCCTGTACAAGAATCGGAGGTAAGAGACTTCAATGAGTTTATTGAAGATACTGGATTGACAGAAATGAAGACTACTAAGGTATATATTGATCTATTATAGGTAAGAATTAAAAGGAATTGGTCACATCTTTTGCATTAAATGCTTCTGACCTCTGATGTTCCCCCCACCGTTGGATTTCTCCTAAAAGGTACAAAAGTGGCATTATAGCCATAAGGCTACTAATTCCTTTCAGAAGTCTTTTCTCACCAAACAAAGTCCCTCCAAAGCCAAACGCTACTGCCATTCCATTTTGCTGCATCTTCATCTTCTTCCTTACTATTTCCTTTAGCTCTTAAAAATGTCTTCTTCTACCTCCTCAACAGCAAATCAAAAGGGGAAAGGTTTGTTAAGACCAATAAAAAGCGTAGGCTCCGACTTTGATGATAAACCTCTTTGGAACCATGTCAAAGTTCTTTCACTTACTCCAAGTGGTGGTGGAAATAGAGTATGGTCATGTAACTATTGTAACAAAAAAGTTACGGGATCATATTCTAAAGTCAAAGCTCATTTGTTAAAAATTTTTGGTCAAGGTGTTCAAATATGTAAAGACATAAGTAGAGAAGTTTGTGAAGCTTTGAAGCAAGAACATGAAGAAGCTGAAAATAAAAAAGCATCTGTACAACTTGACGCGAGGAAAAAGTCAGATTACGTATCGCTTCCTGAAGGGTTAGATTTATCGCATTGTAAAAAAAGAAAAGGTTCAAACGTTGGAGCTCTAGAGAAGTCGTTCGGCATTGAGAATAGGAATATCGCCGACAAAATGGTAGCCCGCATGTTCTACGCTTTAGGTTTATCTTTTAATTTTGCCAAGTCTCCTTATTTTAGAAAGTATTCCGAGTTTTTGCCAAAGACTTCTATACCGGGTTATGTTCCGCCAACGTACAATAGGTTAAGAACTACCCTTTTAGCTCAAGAAAAAGCTCATATTGATAGAAAATTGCAACCTATTAAGGATGCATGGAAGAGAAAAGGATTGTCTATTTGTTCCGATGGATGGTCGGATATTAAGAGGCGACCATTGATAAACATAATGGCGGCTTCTAGTGGTGGTCCAATATTTTTAAAATCAATCAATTCAAGTAGTATTGTGAAGGGTGGAGAATATATAGCTAATTTGTTCATTAAATCAATTGAGGAAGTTGGTGCAAGTAATGTTGTTCAAGTTATCACCGATAATGCAAGTAATATGAAGCTTGCGGTTCTACGGTTGAGCAAACTTATCCACATATATTTTTGACACCATGTGTTGTTCATTGTTTGAACCTTGCCCTAAAAAGTATATGCCAACCTTCCGAAAAGTCAACTCAATTTTTAAATTGCAAATGGATTTTAGATTTGATTGGTGAAGTTAGTAGCTTGAAAAATTTTGTGTTGAATCATGATATGGCTCATCAAAAGCATTTGGAGTTGTCTTTGTTGAAAGTTGCCGAAACAAGATTTGCATCTCATGTTGTCATGACTAGTCGTGTTCATAAAGTGAAAGCATCTTTGGAAAGAATGGTAATGGATGATGATTGGAGAAACTAGAAGGAAAATAAAGTGATTGAAGCTAAAACGCGTGAGATTAAATCCCCTATAATGAATGATGAATGGTGGGATAAGATTGAGTACTTTTTAAAGTTTACCGAACCAATTGTGTCTATGCTTAGAAGTGCCGATCTTTATGCTCCAAAGTTGCATCTTGTTTATGATATGTGGGATACAATGATCGAAAAGGTAAAAGCAATTATCTTTGAACAAGAGGGAAAGGATCTTATTGTCGGGCAATCGGACTTTTTTGATACAATTCAAGACATTCTTGTTGCTAGGTGGAATAAGAGTAACACCCCTTTACATTGCATGGCACATTCTTTGGTACCAAAATATTACCATGAATCATGGCTTAGAGGGGAAGGCAATGGGTTCGAAGGCTTGCTCCAAATGAGGATAGAGAGATTTCCTTAAATAGAGTTAAATGCTTTCAAAGATACTTTAAAGATTCAAATGATCTAAAACAAGCACCTTTGGTGTATGGAGCATTCGCAAGTGGGAGTGGTTTCTTTAGTGAGCCTCATGTTGTTGAGGCTATGATGTATGAGGAGCCTCTATCTTGGTGGACTAACCATGGTGTAAACGCTCCACTTTTGCAGAGCTTGGCGTACAAATTGCTTTCACAACCGGCTTCTTCTTCTTGTTGCGAAAGGAATTGGAGCACCTATTCATTGATCCATAGTATCAAAAGAAACAAGTTAGAGACTTCAAGAGCCGAAGATCTAGTTTTTGTGCACTACAATCTTCGCTTGCTTTCTCGTAAAAAAGAAAAATATACAAGTGGCCCAAGCAAGTATTGGGATGTGGGTATGTCTATAATCTATGTATTCTTGAATTTATATTTCCTTTAGTATTTTTTTATTTTTTAAATCATTTTTATTTTAATTATGCTTTAGGCGGAGAACGTTTTGATGTTGATGAAGCCACCAATGATCTACTTGACTTATGACTAGATGAACCTTAACTAGAAGGAGTCATATTTGAAGAAGAGATTGAAGATGTGCAAGAAGTTGGTCTTGAAAATATTGAGGAAGAATGCTAATGTTATTGTTCAATTGTTAAAAATTAGTAGTTATCCTCTCCTACTTTTTTTTTAGTTTATATAGTTCAATGTTAAGGTAACTTTATATGGGAAATGCTCGAATAGTCATATTTGAAGAAGAGATTGAAGATGTGCAAGAAGTTGGTCTTGAAAATATTGAGGAAGAATGCTAATGTTATTGTTCAATTGTTAAAAATTAGTAGTTATCCTCTCCTACTTTTTTTTTAGTTTATATAGTTCAATGTTAAGGTAACTTTATATGGGAAATGCTCGAATGCTAATGTTATTGTTCATGCTTATTTTGATCGACTTAATGAGAATGGCTAACTCTTCCTAATTTGTGACTTGTGAGGAAAATGCTAATTGCTAAATGATACTTGCATATTTTATTCTCTATGTTCATGTAGGTCATATTCTTCTACAAAAGCAGTGAAAGACTAAAAGCCTAAAAGGTATGTTTTCTATTTTTCTTTATCTTTATATATGTAACTCTCTTACTTATGTAATTATACGATATCTATTATGTTTTAATATACTTTGTGTAACTTGTAGGAGAATATGAGAATGGAAGAAAATCAAGAAATCGCACCTACAACTTGAGAATAAAAAAGAAATCAACACTTTACAAGTTATAGGTAAGTATTCCGTAAAATCATAATTTAGAGATATTTTTATTTTTATTTTTGAATTATTTTTAGCCGGATCCCCGCACCCGTGTCGGTTCTAGGATCCGTATCCCCGAATCTTAAAATTTCCATCTCAAAGGATCCGACCTCTAGATCCGCACCCGTGTCGGACACCCGCACCCGTGTCAGAGCAACTTAGATGCCAACACAACATACTTCTTTGCAAATATGAAAAATAGATGCAGCCAAAACAAGATTAGAAGACTAATAAAAGGAAATGGGAGCATAGTGCAAACAAGGGAGGACATTGAGGAGGAGGTGACAGGATTTTATCAACAGCTATTTGGCTCATCAGCAAGTGAGTTGCCTGCTATTAATCCAACTATTATGAGAGATGGTCCCATGATGAATAGACAGCAACAACTACAACTAATTGCAGAGATCACAAAGGAGGAGATTTATCAGGCTCTGAAAGGTATCAGTGATAACAAAGCCCCTGGGTGTGATGGATTTAATGCTCTATTTTTCAAAAAGGTTTGGCCTGTAGTAGGAGATACAATCACAGATGCAGTCATGGAATTTTTTGCAAACTCAAATATGTATCAGCCTATTAACTACACAACAATAACCCTTGTTCCTAAGGTGAAAAGTCCTTCTAAAATTACTGAGTACATGCCAATATCATGCTGCACAATTCTTTACAAGATTATATCAAAGATACTAACAAACAGACTACAAGGAGTGATGGATGGGCTGGTGGATAAGAGTCAGTCTGCATTTGTTCCTGGTAGACTGATAAGTGATAACATAATACTCAGTCATGAGTTAGTGAAAGGTTATGGCAGGAAAGGTATTTCTCCCAGATGTATGCTGAAGATAGACATGAAGAAGGCATATGATTCAGTAGAGTGGGGTTATCTAGAGCAAGTGTTGACACACCTGCAGCTGCCAGGAAGATTTGTGCAATGGATTATGAGTTGTGTTACAACAGTATCATACTCCATTATGATTAATGGGCAGCCTACAAAGCCATTTCATGCTAAAAAGGGATTGAGACAGGGAGATCCCCTATCTCCTTACTTATTTGTACTGGTTATGGAGTATTTGACAAGGCTGTTGAAGACTCTTAAAAAGGATCCTAACTTCAACTATCATCCTAAATGTGGCAAACTAAACATAGTACAATTGAGCTTTGCTGATGACCTATTACTATTCTGTAGAGGTGATGCCATATCTGTTCAGCTACTATTTTAGTGCTTCCAACAATTCTCAAAGGCATCAGGGCTAGAGGCAAATGCTGATAAAAGTTCCATATTCTTTGGTGGAGTGCATGATGATCAGCAACAGAGGATATTACAAGACTTGGGGTTTGTTCCACCAGTTTGGTACTTGGGGGTACCTTTAAGCTCTAAGAGGTTATCATTGATACAATGCCAGCCTCTACTTGAGAAGATGCTAGGGGGAATCCAATACTGGACAACAAATTTCCTGTCTTATGCAGGGAGAATTCAACTAATCAAGAGTGTGCTATTCTCTATTCAAGTATACTGGTCTCAGGTGTTTGTGTTACCAAAGAAACTTATTCAACTTATTGAAAGAGTATGCAAAACATTCCTTTGGACTGGGGGGGGGGGGGGTAGAAGCATCAAGGAAAGCATTACTGTCATGGGACAACTTGTGCAAACCTAAAGCAGCTGGTGGTCTTAATCTGCTAGCTATAGAGGAATGGAATAAGGCAGCCATATGTAAACTCCTTTGGAACCTGTGCAAGAAGAAGGATAGGCTATGGGTGCAGTGGATACATGTGTATTATAAAAAGAAGAATACACTGTGGGACACTGCACCAAAACAAGCCTCTTGGATAGTGCAGAAGATACTTAAAGCCAAGCAATACTTGGAGGAAGTTGGCTATATAGAGGAGGATGTAGAGGAGATAAACAACTTTTCTATCAAGAATATGTATGGGAAACTGAGGGGGGAATTTGATAGAGTACCATGGAGGAAACTGGTGCACAGCAGTATTGGAGTACCAAAGTGGAACTTCATAGTCCACCTAGCTGCACATAGAAGATTAATGATAAAAGACTGGCTAAGGGGATTGGGCTATGTAGAGGATGTAACATGTTCTTTGTGTAATAGTGAGGAGGAGACAGTGGATCATCTGTTTTTTAAATGTACCTTTGCATCGAGAATATGGACAGCAATGCTACAATGGCAAGGGATTCAGAGGCAACCAATGATGTGGGCAAATGAGCTTGAATGGGCAGGGAAGTACTACAGAGGGAGGAGCACAACAGCTGAGCTACATAAACTTGTGTTGGCAGGAACACTGTATTACATATGGCAAGAAAGGAATGGCAGGATTTTCAACAGACTTCAACGATCAGAAGTCACTCTAAGCAGAGCAATTACTCAGGATGTGCATGGGAGAGGAGAAAGCAAACACAGGATACAAAGAAGATAAAGGGAACTCAACTACTATCCTAGTATATAAGGTGTTAGTTAATCTGTTCTTGTAATGTAGTGGATGAAGTCAGAAGTGGAGCTAAAATCTGGGATGTATGTCCAGATTAAGCTCGAGTATAGTATGTACATATTTGTTGAGAAATGAAAATTTTAATCACCAAAAAAAAAAGAATCAAAATTTTAATCAGGTTCAGGCATAGGCCAATAGAAGAATGAAAGTTAAAGGAAGCACCACTCTTTCAGACAAGGGACTTCCTTGGCAGATGCATTGTGGGAAGGTGAAACATCCGAAATACCAACTTGACCAGATGGGTTCATAATAAATGGTATGCTGTAACTGGGGGGGTTCAGTTATACGTCGTGAGTCACGTCCAGTTTCTTTTTGAGTTTCCTTTTAGAAGAGAGGCTGAACAGTTCATGAAGATGAAGAAAAATCAGCTGTGCTTAAATGGTGGTCCGATGTGCTCCATCTAAATTCATATGGCAACAAAAAATTCTCAAGGAACTTGGTGATAGGTGTGGAGGGTGACTAGAAACAGAAGCGTACACTAGTTAAGAACCAATCACCTTAGATGGGGGCTAGAATCAGAGTCAAAGGTCCCTCCAAGCAAGATATCTGAAGTGGAAACTGATGATTTTGTCTGTAAAATCTGAAACTGGGTTGAGTTATATAGTTCTGTATGTAAATGAGTGCTGAAATAAGGATTGTTGAAGATAAATCTGGCTGAGTGGATGCCAACTATGACAGTCTTGAAAGGAGAAAGGTACGAATTGATGAATCAAATGTCAGAATTTGGTAGGAACAAAGGCTTCTTACTAAAGAGGAATTGATACAGAAAGCTAGTGTATAGATGGAGATAGAAGATACTACCAAGGACGAATAGATAGCATAGAGATAAAGATCTAGGGTTTTCTAGTTGAAACAAGGTGATATAGACATTAAGTTTTCCCAGAGAACGATTAATGCTCATAAAAGATACAAAACCATTGATAGATTAGACATGAGATGGAGAAAAAGAGGAAGAGCCAGAAGCTATCAAGAGGGAGAATTGAGACTACTACCAACACTTGGACAAAGAGAATAAAGAATGGAGGCCAAGATTTAACATGCATGATCATCCAAAATCAGTGAAGAGGAAGATAGCTGCTTACAAGGTGAAGCTTTCAAGAAAAGAGGAAGACTTCTTGCACTCCTGTGTGTATTTAATCCCATGAGTAAGTGAATTTATACAAAGCTCCTAATGCTAATTAAGGAAATAAAATAAATCAATACAATCAACCCAACTATGAAATAAAATCAAATCTCCTGACATCATCCCAATCAACAATCTCCTAAATATAATTAAATCTCATGAAATCATGCTAATCAACACTCCCCCTCAAGTTGGTGCAAAGATGTTGCACATGCCCAACTCGCAACTCAATGTATGAAAAGTCCGCTTGTTGAGACCTTTAGTAAACACATCAACTAGTTGTTTTTCCGATGGCACATGAAACAAACTCAAGACACCAGTTGTAACTTTTTCTTTGATGAAGTGTAGATCAATTTCCACATGCTTTATTTGGTCATGCTGAACTGGATTATGAGTTATACTAATGGCAGCCTTGTTGTCACAGTACAAGGAAAGTTTTCCTTTTTCAGACAGTCTCAATTCCTCTAGTAGCTTTTGTAGCCAAAGTAGTTCATAAACACCCTGGGCCATAGCTCTATATTGTGCCTCTGCACTTGATCTAGCAACTATACTTTGCTTCTTGCTTCTCCAAGTAACCAAGTTTCTTCCTACGAGTGTTCAGTAACCGGGTGTAGATCTTCTGTCATCTAGAGATCCAGCCAATCCGCGTCTATAAAGGCTTCTATTTGGAGATGATCGTGTTTGGAGAAAAGTAGACATTTCCCTGGAGCAGACCTCAGATACGTCAAAATGTGAAAGACAACTTGCATATGAGGATCTCAGGGATCATGCATGAACTGACTCACCAGGCTAACTGAAGGCAACAATGACTCTGATACCATGAAGATTTCAAGAAGAAGAAGAAGACTTCTTGTATTTCTGTATGTGTTTACATCCCATGAGCAAGGAAATATATACAAAGCTCCTAATGCTAATTAAGGAAATATAAACAATCTATACGACCAATCCAACTATCAAATCAAATCTTCTAAATACAATCAAATCTCTTGAAATCATGTTAATCAACAATCTCCTAAATATATTTAAATCTATGTTGCACAGACTCTTCAAAATGTTGCCTCACACGTGTCAGATCCTCCAAAAATACACTACTTTTGAAGGATACGATACGCACCCGGAGAAATTTTCAGAGAGTCTGAGCAACATAGATTTAAATATCTTGAAATCATACTAATCAACATAAGGTCCTTTTGGTGAACCAAGTCTGGGAAATCATGAGAAATAAAGATTCTTCTTTTTGATCTAGCAACCTCAATTCTCAAGAAGTACTGCAATTTTCCTAGATCCTTGATCTCAAATTCATGTGCCAACAACTTCTTCAATCGCGCCATCTCCTCTTTGTCATCTCTTGTCATTACTATGTTATCAACATAAACTATTAGAAGAGTGAGTTTACCCGTATGATACCTTATGAAAAGGGTGTGATCAACCTTGCTTTGTAGGTAACCAAAGGAGATCATTGCTTTGCAGAATCTGTCAACCAAGCTCCGGGGGTTGCTTTAGTCGGTACAAGGCATTCTTCAGTCTGCATACCTTTTCTTGACTTTGTGTAATTTCAAATCCAGGAGGAATCTCCATATACACCTCTTCTTCTAAGTCTTCCTGAAGAAATGCATTATTCACATCAAACTGTTGCAAGTCCCAATCAAGATGAGCTGCACAAGACAAAAGAATTCTAATAGTATTCATCTTAGCAACAGGGGCAAATGTCTCTTGAAAATCCACTCTATAAGTCTGAGTGAATCCCTTAGCTACCAATCTTACTTTGAATCTTTCAATCGAGCCATCAGCTTTGTGCTTCACATTGAAGACTCATTTGCAGCCAACCAACTTCTTGCCTGGTGGTAAAGTGACAAGTTCCCAAGTTTTATTTTTTTACAAGGTCTTCATTTCTTCAATCATAGCTTGCTTCATTTAGGATCTACAAAAGCTTCCCTCCAATTCTGGGGAATAGACACAGAAGAAATAGACAAGGTGTTGAGTTATCCCACATCGGAGGGATTTGAGGTCCTTGGTCTCCTTATATGGCTTGGGCAATCCTCACCTCACAAGCTAGCTTTTTGGGTTGAGTTAGGCCCAAAGTCCATTCTTATCATGGTATCAGAGCCAGGCCCATCCCAATTTATTGTTATCGATGTTGGGCCCCCATTTATATTGTCCACGCTCCAGTAGCAGGCCTGGGCGTGAGGGGGGTGTTGAGTTATCCCACATCGGAGGAATTTGAGGTCCTTGGTCTCCTTATATGGCTTGGGCAATCCTTACCTCACAAGCTAGCTTTTGGGGTTGAGTTAGGCCCAAAGTCCATTCTTATCACAAAGCAAAGGCTCTATAAGAGGGAGACAAAGAATTATAGGAGACAAAATTAGATAAAGGGTGTTTGGTGGTGCAAGATCTGACTCCTTTTTCTTTGAGCATAGGTTCATCTAAATCATTAAGAAATGTAGATAACTCACCAGTAAAAGAAGGTTCAACTTCGTNCGGGAGGGGCCCCTTACGACCCAAGCGCAATATCAAGACATCTCGTGGCATAATCAAACAGGCTCTCGGCCTCATATCAATCACAAGCCACCTCGTGGCATAATAAATCAGGCCCTCGACCTCTCATATATCCCAAATCAGTACCACATGCTGCAGCACATAGCCCGATCCGATAACATCCTCACAACACAAGCCCTCGGCCTCACTCAGTCAAAACTCACTCAAGCCTCTCGGGCTGACAGTAAAACAAGTACTCGGCTAAAAATATCATTTTTGAATCAAGAGGAGTGAATAAAACCGAGTTATGAAAACAGTAAGAACATAGCAAGACTGAGTGTAAATATCAAACCAAAAACATTGAGGAAATTAGTAATAAAAGCCCCTAAGGGTCCAAACAATCGGCATAAGGCCCAGACACGACATTTAGCCCCAAACATAGTAATACTTTCCAAATATAACAATATCAAATAGTTTCCAAGTAAATACGCGACTTAATAGTCGTACGGGACGGACCAGGTCACAATCCCCAACGGTGCACGACCCCACGCTCGTCACCTAGTGTGTGTGTCACCTCAAAATAGCATAACGATGTGAAATCCGGGGTTTCATACCCTCAGAACAGTATTTACAATCATTACTTGCCTCTATCCGATCCAATCTCTAGCCCGCGATGCCTTTGCCTCTCGAATCAGCCTCCGGATGCTCCAAATCTATCCAAAAACAGGTTTATACCATCAAAATATGCTAAGGGAACAAAGCCCACTCGAAAATATCCAATTTATACCAAAAATCCCGAAATTGGCCAAATCCGGCCCCGAGCCCACGTATCGGAATCCGATAAAAATCACACCAATAGAATTCTTATCCTCTCACGAGTTCGTACATACCAAGAACATCAAAATCGGACCTCAAATGGCCCCTCAAATCCTCAAATTACTCTCTCAAAATTCAAGCCCTAATTCCCCAATTTTAGGGTTTAAATTCCATATATATCATGTTTAAACAAGTAAGAATCAACATAGGATCGAGTATAAAGTCCGAAATCCTTACCTCCAAGAAGTTCTCTTTGATTCCCTCTTCAATCTCCCTCAACAAGCTCCAAAACCGAGTCAAAAATGGTGAAACTTAGACCCAAAATCGCGAAAATGGCCTTTTATACATTTTGCCCAGCGATTTCAATCCTTCTTCACGAAGGCGGTCAAAGCCTCGCGTTCGCGAAGCACAAAATTCCGTTGACCAAAAGACCTATTACGCAAACGCGACCTCCAGATCACGAACACGAAGCTTCAGCTTCCCAGACCATCACGAACGCGACTCCTAGCTCGCG